TTCTTGAATTTCAGATTCCTAAGGGGGTTGGACTGAAAGGGAAGAGTTTTTATGCTTCCCTAAAATAACCGCTTACGTCTCGTTCCACGCAAATTGAATCCCCCCCCACAACTTTTCACACCACAAATGTGCAGCAGAAAGAAGAAAAGAAGCAGAGAGCCTGCCTCAGTACTGGGCCATAGCCAGTGCTATTCCTCTGTCACTGTCTCCCTTTTCTGCCCCAATCCCCAAATTCCTCCCATTTTCCTGCCTTTTGCCCACCTTCACTTTCTCCAGGTCTCCTGTCAGAGCAGCTGGCATTAGCAGAGCTCTTGGCCAGCACTCAGAGTCAGACACAGCCACATGTGCCACTCTTGTGGGCTGGAAGATGAAGAATATAGCTGGTTATGTCATGTGTAAAGCAGAGTCTCACAGATCCCATCTTGTGAGCTGCAGCCTGCTGTAGATGACAAAGGGAGAAAGCTGGTTTGTGTGGCACCAGGGACACAGCAAAGTAGCAAGGCTTATTATATTCTTATTTTCACTTTCAGTTCACAATTTAAATACCCCCACAAGGAACAAATTTACTCTGCTTATAACAGTCTTTTTGAATGATAATGTCATCAGAAATTTCATTTTCCCTTTGCCCAAGAAGTCAATAGCTGTTTTCTGCAAGGCAGAGATATTGTAATCTCTACAATTATTCAGTACTGTACACCAAAAGGCTTTAGGATCTGTCATTTACTCAATGTGATAAGTGTTTGTGCAGTATTTATACTTATTTTCTTGGTACTTGTCTTTTTGGTACTATTCCAATTTAAATGTGGTAATAAAAATCCTGTAGTGCAAATATATTTCAGCTCATGTAAAGGAATGGGATCAGCAGCTCACACATTTAACTGTCGTAATCAGAGGAAATGTTCTTAATGCAAGCAAGAGCAATAGAATTTGGTCCTCAAATGTCTAGATTTGCAATTTCTGAGTACTCAGGTGTGTGATTACTGGCAGGCTAAAGTGCTTTGTGAGATTGGGGTAGAAAGAGCTCCTGCCAAATTCTCCTAAAATTTCTTCTTTCTTCCCTGAGCAGAGAGGAATTGCACTCCCCTGGTGATACAGGCACTCCCACTGGAAAGGAGCCGGGTGGAAAGAAAAAAGAGCAAAAGATGCTTTTCTATGCATCAGATGTCTGAAGTGCTCCATACCTGTAGGGAGCTCAGCTGCAGCATGGGACCTGTTCTCAGCCCCTGTGCAGATGGATGCAGCCCTGAACAGGCACAGGTTTGGGTCGGTTGGCAGCTCTGCTCTAGTCCAAGTAGCATCCCCTCTCCTTGAGCTTTCCCATGCCATATGGACATGTCTGATGGAGGGGCAAGGAGGGATTGTCTAAGAGCAGGCTGGAGAAACTCTCAGGGACAGCATCTGTGTTTACTTTTCTGTTGTTACTGCGCTTCATGGCAGCCACAGACCCTTTCCTGTGCATGATTGCAGTCACCCCAGGTAGATCCTGACAGGCTGGTGGGATAAGAGAAATAAAGCAATCTGTGAGAGCTTCACTGTGCTTGAACAGAGTTATACAGAAACTCAAACAGCTACATTTTCTGTAAGTGCAACTAATTATTGCTGCATTGTTGCCTCACTGAAAGTGGCCCAGGTTCAAAGCAGGATTTGGTTTTGTGCTTCAGGCAGTAGGGTTATGTGCTTGTACCAGATGGAGCTTTTAAATTTTCATCAGCAGGTTTATAAACACAAGAATATCTATCCTTTTATCTGCCCCCAGCTCTTTTACTAATTAGTTGCAAATGCTGAACTTCAATTAGCATGGAGTGGAGGAACAGATGAAATAATATACATTCTTACTCATGATTATCCATCATGTGAGAATGAAATAGACATTAATAATGACTGTTTCAGTTTTTTGGCGCTTTTCTATTGGTGCTTTTTTTCCCCCCTTTAATACTTGGTAGTAAAAATGAGTGAAAATAGCTAAAAATAATGAGCCAGATTCTCTGGTGATGAAATCCTATTGCAGGCAGAGAAGTGAGAGTTTTCAGCCTTGCTCATTTTTGCCTTGACCCCTGTAGGTGTGTTGGGTCAAGCCAACACAAGGGTGTGCGACAGCTGTGTTGTTAAGTTTGCCATGGAAGGATTTTACAAAGGCATTTATAAAACTACATTTTCCTGCTGCTGAGAGGTGGCCAGAGAGGTCTGGGCTTTGAAGCAGCACTGCTGTGTGTTATGAGAGAATCTCAGATTTTCTGAGGGGTGCATGTGCACGGAGAGGCAAAGGGATTGATGAGTTGAATGCTGTCTTTGCCTTTAGCAGCACGTTTGCTGGCCTACAACCTGTGCTTGTGTGCTCTGTGTGTGCTCCAGCTGAGAGGCTCTTTCTGGACCCTGCAGGCATCCTGCTGCTGTGCTTGTTGCCTGTGGTTTATAAATCATTCAGGAGATTTGCACCTTTCAACAGCAGCACCAGCTCTTTAGAGGGTATCAAGGAAGGATCTCTACCTTAACTGGTAACTTTTAGGCAGGAAAAGGTTGGGGTGTATTCTCAAACATCAGTCTTGGCACACAGTTTGAGAATGTATGGGGAAATTGTCAGGAAAGCTGAGGAAAGGCAGCACTTTGTGAGGTATAGATTGGTTCTGGGAATTCTGCATCCAACTTTTCATGTCATAGAATCATAGAATGCTGAGGGGTTGGAGTGGACCTTAAAAACCACATAGTCCCAACCCCTGCCATGGATAGGGACACCTCCCCCTAGATCAGGCTGCTCAAGGTCTTATCCAGCCTGGCTTTGAACACTCCAGGACTGGGACATCCAGCCCTGTTGGCTGTCTTGCCTTAAGAAGGCTTTGCTGGAAAAGTAATCCACTAGGAGGATAGGGCCTACTGTTGGGAAATAGAGATGCATAAATCTGAACCAGTAACTGGAAGAAAACTGTTCTCACAATAATAATAATGATGATGAAATATGTTCTGACTAATCACACTCCAGAATATACCCCTGAGACACTTGCTGGTCACTTCGTGGTGGGTTGTGCTTCAACATAAGGATGTCAGCTTTGTGGGCCATACTGAGTGTGGAATAAAAAGCAGTAGAGTCTCTGAAGTTGGAAAAGACCTTTAAAAACATTGAGTCCAGCCATAAACCTCACACTGCCGAGTCCACCACTGAACCATGTCCCCAAGTGCCACATCTACATGTTGTTTAAACACCTCCAGAGTTGGTGACTCAGCCACTTCCCTGGGCAGCCTGTTCCAGTGCCTGGCAACCCTTTCTGTAGAGTTATCTTTCCTAATACCCAAACTTAGATGGTAGGAGAAAGGCAAAGCAGCATTGCTGAAGTCTCCCCTGACAACATGAAACCAACAGAATTTTTCTTTTCCCGAGTCATGCAGGCTTGGTGTGTGTAGTGGAGGCAGCTGCTGCTCTGTCACAAAATGTGGCTGTGAGCAGGAGGTAGCAAAAGGCCAGCACAGCCCAGGGGTCTGCAATTGCCACAGTCCAGTGGCTCTGGAGTCCAGTTGCCACTTGATTGAATTATCAGAGATGCAAGAGGCTTCAGTTGTAACCTAGCATGGGCTGAAGGGTTACTGAGGAAAAATGGACCCGTTCTCTGCTCTGCTATGCTGATGCCAGAGCTCACTGGTAAAAGAAGGCCACCAAGCTTTTCTTTGTACTGCATTGGAAGTGACACTGCAAGGGGAGGGAAAGTTCTATTTAAAATTGCATAATCAGAGATGAAGGGCAATTGGGAAGAAAGATCAAAGATAGGAAGGAGGGACAGGAAGAAAGAGATGAGGTACACTGTGTCTGCACAGACAGCTAATTTCCCGTTAATGAACCCTTGCTTAGGAAGGGAAGGGTGGCTCTCTGTACCAGGAGAGAAAAACAGCCTTCTGCCACTGCACTGAGACTCCCTTTGAACATGGTCTCCTACCAGAATGAAGGGCTGCACTCTGCTTCACATCTCACAGAATTAGAAAAGACCAAGCTATTTTCTGACTGCCTGCATCCTGCTTATGTAACTTGCAGATGACGGCTGTGCAACCTCTGGCTGAGCCCTGGAAAATTTCCTTGTCGGTGACTCAGGTGCTTGGCAAACAGTCTGGTGCAGTGGGCTTGGAGATGAGATTGCAGTCAGAGGCACTGCCTGGCTACCAGAGCCCAATTCAAGGTCTCTTTGTGGAATTTCTTCCTCCTGGAAGCTGGCTGATTGTCCTGGTCTTGTCGCTGCCAAGTGTCCCTGTTGTGCTGTGTTAATTAGTGCAAAGCATCCCCTTGATTGCTGTGAAGCAAGAGAAAACCACAGCCCTGTTATCCAGAGATGTGGGTCAGCAAGGAACGAGGAGAAGAGCTAGGCAAGAACAAGTCCTTGGCCTTTGCATTAATTTTATCCATAAAAATTCCATCAGAGGACTGGGAGAGCGTTTAGTGCAGCAGGGCTGCAAAAGTGGGATTTCATGGGGAAGCACAGAGTCCCCCTTTGCAGTCCTCATTGTGAAACTCCATGCAGTCACCAGAACAGTGCTGGTTTGGAGGCTGTGAATCTGGCTGAAAGCTGGAGGTCAGGACTGCACATTGTGCTGGAGTAAAGTTGACACTATTAAAAGTAAGGATTAGACCCAGGGGTGAGGGAAAAAACTGAAACAGATGCAGAAGTGTCTTAGCTGCAAACCAGACTTCCTTGTGGGTCAGCTGTCATCTCCAGGAGCAACAGAGCCCAATTTCCACCTCTTTGGAAGTGTAACTGAGAGGAGCCAGGAGATCTGTACCACCATGTAGGTCCAGTCACTGCAGTGTCAAGGCTGGGACAACTGTGAGGTGCCCAGATCAGCCCATCGTACACCAACCTGTGCAGGAAGGCCCTGGGGCAGCCCAGCTGTGTTCAGAGCAGCACTTGCTTTGCTCATGCAAAGAGCCTGTGTGCCAGACTGCAGTGGGAGGGGGACAGAAAAAGACTTTGCCACAGGGATGACCTGGTGACTAATGAGTTTCATTGATCCTCTGCTTGCAGGAGAGAGCAATCCATCATCTGCAGCTCCTGCAGCCGGTTCTGCTGAAGGCCCTCAGGAAGCAAACGTGAGCTGTTACCTAAAAGCAGGGCTGTGTGAGCCCTCTGAACCTAATGGTGTGCTCTCATGGATGCATGAACATGATGGTGCAGAAGATCCCAGCATCAGGGACTCTCTGGATGGCTTCTACAAAATGTATTGCAGACAGCAGCCAGAGAGAGAGGACCTGACCTACGAGGCTGCCTCGCGGTGTCTGTCACAGAAGATGTCAGAGCTGGAGCAAAAAGATGGGACAAAGTACGTGTCACGATGCCTGCAAATGGCACAGCTGGTCTTGAACAGAGATGGATGTAAGATCTTTCCAAACCACCCCCCTTCTGCTTGCTTCTCAAAGCCAGCTGAAGGAGAAGTCTTGTTGGAAAACAGGAGGAGGACACCTGGACTCTCAGATGATGTCTTGCAGTTCCTCTTGGAACAAACAAAGGCAGAACGTAGCCCTGATGTGTCACACAAGAAGTGAGCAAGACACTGCTTTGTTTGTGTCATGGAGGCTTTGCTTTCACTCCAGAAAGAGGTGATTTTCTTGGACAGACATTGTTCTCCAAGCACCACCTTCAGCACCAGCTGCTCCATAGAGGGTTCACCCACACCTTGCTCTCTGAGGGCAGCACTGCTTTAGGAGCCCCTGTGCAACTGCCTGGGATGTGTTGACTGATGCAGTACTTGTTGCTGGGACATCAAACATATAATTTATACCTACCAGGATTTTAAACTGGCCTGCATCCTTACCCCAGGGTAACAGTGGTCCAGGCCAAATTCAGCCCCTGGGTGGGCATTGCTGTCCAGTGCTGTTGGCTAGAACAGAATGTTTGATTAACCTTGGCATGGTGTGCTCCAGCCCTGCAGAGGGAAAGTTAAGATTTTGTTTGGAATATTTGTCTCCACAGGGTGCCTGTTAGCTCTGTGTTTTTACCTACAGACATATAACCCCACAGTTCATTACTGCAATGCCAAGTGAGTTTTTCTGACAGAAAAAATGTGTGTGTGCATGAGAAAGAGAAAATACAGCTCTGGGTATGCTCTCTGACAGTGCTTCTGTCCTATTTACCTCCTCACCATTACCTCCCCCAACAACCTTCAGTTCCTTTCTGACTTTCATGGTGGTGCTAATGAGATCCCTGGGGGAAAGTTCGCTTTAAAATGAAATGGATCTCTCTGAGCCCAAAGAGGCTGATGTCAGTCAGCAACAGAGCAATGAGCCCACACAGACACTTCAGGTTTCTCTCTCAGAAGCCTCCCAGCTCGGTGGCTTCTTTGTTGCTTTACTGCCTCTGCCAGGCAGATAAATGTCTTTGTGCATGTTTTCCACCCCCTGGCCTGTGGACTGAAGAGCAGTTTGCTGTAGTGATGTTGTTGGCTGGCTGGGGAGGCCATTCTGCAGTGTGGGTGTGAGCAAGGAAGCACAGAGTGCCAGGGGAAGGGAAGTGTTTAAGATGACAGCAGATGGGCAAGGGAGAAGGACACAAAGGGTGGTTGGGCTCTCAAAGGTCACCATCGGTGTGGTTGCTCCAGTACAGCCAGAGGGCTCACACCAGTTTTGGTATTTGGTGTCCTGTGTTTGCCAGCCCAGCTGCAAACCTCTCACCCACTCCCTGTCCACAGTGGCCAGATCTCAGAGTGGGTGTTTGTGTTCCTGCATGTCACATTCCCTGCTGCAGTCCCACATGGGGCTGCTATTCCTGCCTTGCTGCCCCTGGCAGATTGGCACAGCTCTGTGCTCTGCAGGTGTTTCCAGCAAAGGCAATGGAAATTTGGCTGCTGCCTTCAGTCAGAGCAGGAGGGGGCCCAGCTGGCTGCAAGTTATGGCCAAAGTCTTAGGACTTGCTTTAATTTCTTTTTGCAAATAGAGAAATTAAATAGATTTATATTGGAAGTGCCTGGGTTTAGTTTCCTGTCCCTGAGTCATCATGGAACCAACACATTTAGCTTTGTGGTGGTCCTGCTGTGTGTGTTGCTTGCTTGCTTTATGGCAGAGGTGTTGTACATGTGCAGGAGGGCACACAGAATATTGGAGCAGACCTTCAGCTCCCCCAGCATTACTCAAGTTAATAATGCTAAGGGGGAAAAAAAGAGGTGGGGATGCAGCATCATTTCTGTAGCAGCAAACAAACCCACAGGTGCTTGTGTATCAAAATCCAGATGAAAGCATCCTGCTGGCAAAAACTAGAGAGAATGGCAATATCAGCTAGTTTAGCCACAGCTACAGCTGGAAAAAGCAAGCATGCTCCTGAGTGTGCTGTCAGTAGTGACAGTAACATCATGGCCCCTCTGCCAGCTCGCTCTGCTTAACCCCACAGATCTGTCACAGCCTCAGGGACACTGGTTTGACAGATGTAGGGAGATACTGCTGAGGATGTACAGGGAAAAAGGAAGGTCTTCATTGTGAATCACATGTTGTTGCTTTTAATCTTTGCCAGTGTTTATGCTGTTCCACACAGTTAAATTAGCTGCTGTGCAAAGCCCCTTAACTGCCATTTTAAGGGAAGTAAACTCCCATGAAGAGAGAGATGGAGAAACCAGAGGTCTGCATCTGAATTCCTTCAATTGCTATGTTTGGTTTGTTGATGAATTGGTCAGTGGTTTAGGTTAGCTTAAAAACCATCTGATCTCCTAATCAAACTTAAAAAAAAAATTAAAAAGAAAGCCAAAGACATTCAATTTCCACAAAGAGAGCTTGCAGAAAAATAGGAAGTTCCTGCTCTTCAAGAGAGATCTGCTGCTACTGATGTTTGAGACATCCCTACTGGGTTTTGATGGAAGGGCAAAGAAGCTCAGAATGACAAAACAGAGAAAAGGTGGCTGCTGGAAGAGCATGAAGAGAGATACTGGCAGAGGAGAGCATGAAACTGTTCAATTTTAAGGATCAACGTAGGCAGAACAGACTGGATGCAGCTGAAAAATTTGGATTATGACTCATATCTACAAATCTTGTCTGGCATCTTGCAGAGGACATGGTAATGTCTGTGCTGCTGAAACATGCAGTCTTTCGAGAAGTTTGCAGAATCAGGAGTGGTGCAGCTCTGTGCACTGCTCACTTCCAGTGGATCATGGATATGACTATCCATGGCTTCCTCAAGGGAAAAAGCAGTCATTTTGCATGGCAAGTACCAGGAGTGGTATGAAGCCCTCAGAGAAATGTCCCATGTTCTGCCCATTTCCCCCCAGCCTGTGCACTAATCTGAGAAACTGAGTTTATTCCTGGGAGGTGAAGTGCCTTCCTCTCTCCCTGGCTTGCACTTGACTTAGTTTTGACACTTGTGTGGTTTCAGCTGTCCTTCTCTCCCCAGCTTGTTGGCTTCCCCAGCACTGGAGTTCTCACCTGTGCTGGCAAAGCCAGCTGCTGGCACCTCTGTTCATCCCCCTGTGTGTGTGGGGGGGCTGCTTTAGCAAAGGCATTTGGGGGCTCACACTGCAGAACAAATGCAAGGGATTTTTTTCCTTCTGTTTGTTCAAGGCTCACAGCCAAGGAGCAGCTCTCTGAGCCTTAGAACAACCTGAAAACCTACGCCACCTTTCATGGCTCTGGGTATACCAAATCCCACAAGATCCTAAGCAAAGTGTGTAAGTGAAGTAAAAGATGGGGAATCAGTCCCATAAGGTGGGACAAGCAAGGCCAAAATTGATTTCCCATTGCCAAGTAGGAGGAGCACAGGGCATGGTGAGGATTTGCCTTGGCCCGGGGGTTTCCCTGCTGCCCAGCCCAGATCCACATCCCAGCCAGGTCTGTTAGAGGTGTGTGTGTGCTTTGGGGTGGCTGTTGGGCCCCTGAGCTGGGCCAGCATCCCCAGAGGGGTGAGGGAGCTGCTGCAGGCACTGAGCCCTGCCCATGCCCTGCAGCCACTGGAGTGGCCCCGGGGCTCGGCCAGGGCCAGCTCTGGCAGGCTGAGTTTGCCTCTACTCCCTGCCATGAATGCCTGATCCAAGCTCTTGTGCCATCCTTGCTGAGTGCTGCTGCTGTTCAGGCATTCCCTGCCTGGGAGCTGCTCCAGGACGTTTGGTATCAATGGCCTCTCTGCTGCTCACTCCGACTGCATTTTTATTTTCCCTCCCACTCGCCTGCTGGTGGGAGGTGCTGATTCATGCCAGCGACCTACCCAGTCCTGCAGCCCAGAGCAGCCAGGGAGAGCTGAGCTCCTGCCACAGGTGCTGCAGCAAGCCCTGAGCTGGCTCAGTGAAGTGAATGGAGCCAGGGCTGTTTACACCCCAGGGGATTTTCCCCCAGGAGTTTAAGGTGCTTTGGTGTGCCTGGATGTATCAGGACACATGTTGTTAAAACTGCCATAAGACAGGCAGTGTGCATCCTGTGTAAATGTGGCTATTCCATTACTGAGCATTGGTGATTTTGTGTGGGGCATATGTTTTCCCACAACACAGAAGTTCATGTTAAAAATACCCTGTTCTGTAGGCTTTCCCTAATGACTATTTTCCCCCACACACTGGTTAGGCAACAGCATATGCCAGCATTTCTTCCTTAAAAGTAAAATCTGGCACATAGCACACAGAGCATGAAATAAAAAGATGTGATTAAAGCAATAGCTGGAGCTAACCAAAGCCAAAAAACTTCTGGCAGAAAGGTCAAACCTTTTTTAAAATTGCCTTTGCCTGTTTGTTTGCAGATGCTGAGACTTGGGAGGGAAAGTCTTGTAATGAAAGAACAACTGTCATAGAAAATTTGACCCTCAGTACAAGGCAAACAAACTTTCACTTGCATTGGAAGGTAGGTTCTTGTAATGGGAAATGTCAGTCAGCCTTAGGCAGGTGTCACTTTCCAGTGTTTTCCAGTCTCACTGCTGTGAGGGATGAGCCAGGAATGGTGCTAAATGGGTGCTAAAATCAGCACCTCCTGGCCAGAGAAACAGAGTGATTCTGTAATTAAGGATACTGAGGTGGGGATGCTGTGCCCTGCAACACATTTTCAGTGTGACTTCCACCAATTAGTTTTTTTTTAAGTTGCCAGCATCTTGTTTTGGGTATCTGAGAGCTTCAAAGAAAGAGTGGAAGGGCAGAGGGCATTTACACCACGTCTCTAACAGCAATTTCCCTCAAAACCCTGCAATTAGAGGTTCAAACAAGAATAGAGATTCTGCATCTGTGGTCCAGGCCCCCCTGTTTAAGAAGCAGCTCAGCACGTGTTCTGTGAGGCCAGCTTGGTTTCGGTCCTGGTTTTTGCATCTTCCCTGGGTCTGGCTGGTCCCTGGGGCAGGCTGAGCACCACATGGTAAAGGTGTGAGTGCAGGCAAGTGCCATGGCTGGGTTCTGTCTCTGGGACTGTTCATGCTGCTTGTCTGGTGTTCCAGAATAGCCTGGTTGCACGTGAATTAGTAGGAAAAAAAGTCCTTCTGGCATGAGGAGACAGACTGCTGTTTTGAGGGCTGGAGGAGTCTTTCCAAAGGCAGCAGTGCATTAGGCTGAAAATGCAAGGTGTGCTGGACAAGCATCAGACTGATTCCTGTGCCCTTCTTCCTGTTCCCATTCCCATGGGGTGATTCTGCAGCTGATTTTTCCCCAAAAACATCAGGCCCAGTGTGCCTCATCTGAGTGCTGGCAAAGCCACCCACTGTGGCTTGGTCTTTCTTACATCCAGCAGAGTCTCTTTTCCTGTTTGGATCACATTCCCACCATCAGGGTTACTAGACAAATTTACACAGATGGAGCATCTTCCTGCTATTTTCATTTCCCAAGGCTGCCTTTAAGCTTAAGCCTATTAAGATTTTTTCATAAGCACACAGCATTTCACACAAAGGGCCTAAAAGTCTTAAAATTGGGGTATGCAAAAGGAAAAGGATATTCTAAGGGGAAAAGGTGCTAGCAAAATATCCTCCTGCATTTTGCAGGTTGTGCTCTCTCTTTCCTAGGCTTTTCTTGCAATTGGGTTTTGTTCTTTGTGCCAGTGGCGATTCAGACAAAGGTGATGGAAAATTTCTTGGGGGATTCCTTTTCCTTTTGCTGTGTGAATACCGCTGTCATAAAATAGATCTCTCAAAACTGTGTTTTCAGTCTGCAATTATCTGCAAGGGCATAATTGGA